CTCCTGCTATTTCTCATAGAGTTGCTGAGCAATGAAAATCATGCCCATAGTTCCACAGTTTGGTTGGAAGCCACACTGGCTTGCAGAAAAGTTGTCCTCTGAGACCAGGTGAAGATGCTTAGTGAGGATTCAGGCAATGATCTTCCTAGCAATGGAGAGTAGGGAGATTCCTTGGGAATTCCCACAATCCAGTTTGTCTCCGTTCTTGAACACAGTGGCGATGACAGTACCCCTGAGATCAGCAGCAATTTCTTCTTTGTCCCAGATTTTCAGGAATAGTTGATGAAGATGATGGGTAAGTTCTGCTCCTCCAAGTTTGTAAATTTCTGCTGGAATCCCATCTACTCCTGCAACTTTTCCATTCTTCATGTGTCTAACAGAGGCTGCAACTTCTGCAACACAAGCTGGTAGCCCTAGATCATCTTTGCTGGAGAGTTGGAATTTCCTCAACCATGTCCCCATCGATGATTGTATCGTAGTTTTTTGAAGTGATCTTTCCATTGGAGGCTGATATTTTCTTCATCTCTTAAAAGAGTGCTGTTCTTACTCTGTAATGGTTCAAGGCCCAAGGGTGTTGAGTCTGTATATTATTTTGGTGGCACTGAAGAAACCCCAGGTGTCATGCTTATCAGCAAGGAGTTGCAGCTCCTTAGCTTTCTCTGTTGGTTCTTGGTTTCCTTAGTTCTTCTTTGTAACTCCACCTTTACTTTTTGACAAATTCTCCTCTTTACCACGCTGGTGACGTCATTTTGCCAGGCATAGAGATCTTTCCACTTGTTGTCATGGAAATCTTGGATCATGTGTTCATTCTCGTTGAACCAGTCTTACTGTTTCCTGGTCTTGTAGCCAATGGTTTCTTCACAGCATGAGATGACTGCTATCTTCAGATCTTTCGAGATTTCCCCCACTCCAGTCACATGAAGCCTTTGGAGATTTTGGTGAGGACATTGTTGGAAGTTTGCTAGTCTGTTTGGCTCAACGTTGAGCTTTTCTCTGATCTGGTTCTTTGACTTCAGCTGCTGGTGGCATTTAGTGGATATTGAGGAGTGGATGAGCAAAAGGTTTGTCCAGCAGTTGTCTGCACTGGCCATTACTTTAGTAATGAGGACTTCCTTTAGGCCTCAGGATTGAATGATGACACAATTGATTAATGCCAGCACTTTGACCTCCAAGAAATCTTTAACTTGTCATTTGTGGTGGAACAGTATGTTGGTGATGATCAGCTGGTGTTCCATATGTTTGGCAAGCAAGAGAATCCCACTGGGGTTGCAATTCCCGACTGCCTTTTTGATCATTCCTTTCCAGATTTGGGGATTCTTTCCAACCCTGTATTGCAGTCTCCAAGGATAATTATTTTATTTTTTGTAGGGATGTTGGTGAGTATTGTGTTCAGGGTGGAGTAGAAGCTTTCTTTGGACACATCTATGGATTGAGGGTTAGAGCACAGGCACTCATTACCATTGCCTGCTGGTTCTTGGCAAGTTAGAGATGGCCAGTCATGAGGCAATCAGTGAGGCCAACAGGGAGATCTGAGATAGTTGGAACTGCAGATGCTGGTGAATCCAAGACAACAAGGTGCAGGGCTGGATGAACACAGCAGACCAAGCAGCATCATAGGAGCAGAGAGGCTGACGTTTCGGGCCTAGACCCTTCATCAGAAAAGGGGGAGGGGAAGGGGGTTCTGAAATAAATAGGGAGAGAGTGGGAGGTGGATAGAAGATGGATAGAGGAGAGGATAGGTGGAGAGGAAACAAACAGGTTGAAGAGGCGGGGATGGGGCCAGTAAAGGTGAGTGTAGGTGGGGAGTTAGGGAGGGGATTGGTCAGTCCAGGGAGGACGGACAGGTCAAGGGGGTGGGATGAGGTTAGTCGGTAGGAGATGGCGGTGCGGCTTGAGGTGGGAGGAGGGGATAGGTGGGAGGAAGAACAGGTTAGGGAGGCAGGGACGAACTGGACTGGTTTTGGGATGCGGTAGGGGGAGGGGAGATTTTGAAACTTGTGAAATCCACATTGATACCATTGGGCTGCAGGGTTCCTAAGCGGAATATGAGTTGCTGTTCCTGCAACCTTCGGGTGGCATCGTTGTGGCACTGCAGGAGGCCCAGGATGGACATGTCGTCTGAGGAATGGGAGGGGGAGTTGAAATGGTTCACGACTGGGAGGTGCAGTTGTTTATTGCGAACCGAGCGTAGGTGTTCTGCAAAGCGGTGATCTGAGAGTTGGTTGATGAGTTTGTTCTTGATAGTGAATCCAATTCCATGCATCCTGGGTTGATCCTCAGGTTTCCGTCTCCAGAAGAAGGTGGAACCATCGTTTTCTTCACTCAGCCGCCCTTCACCTACTCTTCGAGTCTCCTGCAGGGCTGCAACATCAATGTTAAAGTGTCTGAGTTCATGGGCAACAAGGGCAGTTCTTCATTCCAGACTATTATTTTGCTTATTGCCCATGAGGGTTCATATATTTCAGGTTCTGAGATTGAATTGGTCTTTGGTTTCCAGATCACAGGTAGATGAGCTCACTGGGTATGATACAGACTATTTTTAAGGCACATTTTCTGGGTCCTTCCCCATTTAGGCAAGCAAAATGATCTTGATGAGCGATGCTCAGTCATGAAGATAGCTGCCGAAACATTCTCCTGTTACTATTCCAAAAGTGAAGAGACTGAGTCAAACTCCACCAGCTATGTGTCAGTACAAAGCTAGGGACTTCCAGACCTCACAATCCTGTCCCCATCACCTCTCACTGCATGACTTGTGTTTTTTGTGTGTGTGCGTGAGCGTGTTTGCGCGCACACATGTGGTGATAGGGAGTTGAATTCTTCTCGGTAAGAAGCCTTGTGCAGGACATTTCATAGCATCCCTACATTATGGAAACAGGCCCTTCTGCCCAACAAGTCCACACTGACCCTCAGAGCATCCCACCCACACCCATCCCCCTATAACCCATCTAATCTACACATCCCTTAACACTACAGGCAATTCAGCCTGGCTAATCCACCCTAACCTGCACATCTTTTTCCTTTAATGCGGGAATGCCGTTGCACAGCAGCAGACACATGGTCTGTGACAGAGGTAGATCTAGTTCCAGTGGCAAGGAAACCTCAATCTCCTGACTGCTGTGGCCTCCATCCACTGTCAGAGCCATTGATATCACACAAATACCTTCTGCTGTTGAGGACTTGTTTTGGATTAAGCTTTGTCTGGTTCCTTCCCCTCTGACCTTACCATCATAGGTGGCCATGCCAGGAGTTGAGAACTCCTGACTATGTCACTTTCAGGATCAATGGAACACTCAAACCTCTCCAGCACAGCAAGGTGGCAATCCATGGAAAGGCTAGAGTCTATTGTAAAGGATGTAATACCAGAGTACTTAACGTACGTAAATTGATCAAGCAGTGGCAGCATAGTTTCATGAAGATAAATTGTTCCTGATAAATTTATTACACAGTTCTCTGAAGAAGTTCAAGCAGAATAGATAAAGGAGACCAAGTAGATGTAATATATTTGGATGTGGAAATGGCATTCAATAAGCGACTTCCTATAACGCTGCTTTAAAAGGGACCACCTCGTTGGTGGCAGCATATTATTATAGGTAGAGGATTGACTAAATAATAGAAGACAGAGAGTTGAGGTGAGGAGGGCATTTTCAGGATAGCAACCTGTATCTGGTTGAGTGCACCAGGGATCAGTGTAGGGCTGCAAATATTTATAAATCAATACCATGGATCATGGAAGTGAAAATATAAAGTTCTTGAGTAGATTTGTAGCTCCAATTGTGGATGTTGTGGTTGGTTTGCTCGCCGAGCAACCCAGCAGGGTAATGAAACGTCTGCGAACTAACGAACCAGCTCGGCGAGCGAACCAACCACAGGAAGTGAATATACTATTACCAAGTTTGCACATGACACAAAAATAGAGAGGAAGGCAAGCAGTGGAGATGACACAAAGAGTCTATAAAGAGATATAGTCAGGTTGATGAAAATGCACACTAGAACACAATGCACAGAGGTTGTAGCATGGAACAGGCTGTGTTGGTGTTTATAGTGTACATGAAGAAATTTCTTTAATCACATTTCTCACCTTGAGCCCACAAATCTTTTTTGTTTCTTTCAATTACCTATCCAATTTGATCTTGAATGCTGGCATAGTATCTGCTTCAATCAGTAACTCTGCACTCTCTGGGCAAAGAAATTTCTTCTGCTTCTATTGCAAATAACTAGAGTGGGTTGGGAGCAGTGGAATAACTCAGTTACCTATACAAACTTCAGAACAAGATATAAAAAAAAAATCAGGCTTAGGTTGTCAGGATGGAATTTTTCTTCCAGGTCAACTCCCATGTTGATTTGAATTTTTGATTTAAAGTTTAGCCAAATCTAATTACAGTAAAATGCATGTGATTGGCACCTCCTAAATCCAATAATCCCCGCACTCCACCTCTACAGAACAAGGACAGGAACACTTGTATACTAACTGTATCGTAACAGGTGTCATAATTACTACAGAAAAATACTAATGTTGTCAGTTTACCATCGTAAGACTTAAGAAGTATTTAGATGTGCACTTGCAATGCCAAAGCATGCAAGGCTATAAATGTTGGATTAGAACGGTTAGGTGGTTTTTTCTGACCAGTACAGACATAATGGGCTGAAGGGCCTTTTTGTGCTGTAGAGCTGTATGACTCTATTTGATTGTAAAACAACTGGATACAGTTTGAAGTACTTTTCCTTCAGAGTTTACACTGAAAAGAGTGAAAGGTGGAGAGGTTATAAGCCCTTGAGAGCTGCATCAGAACTTAAAGACACGTTTTCATTCAAGTCCTTCATTTGTCATAAAGTGCAACAGGTTAACCAGTGTTTTTGATTTACCAGCACCACCCAAGTCAATGTTGGGATGGTGCATTTGGTAACATGAGAGTTACCAAATACACAATAGTAAAACAATCTCTGCTCAAAACAACTAAATGGAAATTATTGAAAACAAAGATATCAATACACTTCTGACATCCAGGTATAATCAATTTAATCCTATCCAGAAAAATCAAAGGAAATATCTCCAGAACATCACCGTCTAGAATAGGAACCATAATAAATAACAATGATTACCCACAAGGGGGAGACAGATCCTTTAAAATAATAATGCGTACAATATCAGAAGATGAACAAGAGGATATAGTGAACCAGAACCACAAATATGGGGAGATAAACAAAGACTAAAAGTCTAGGCACAATTTCAAAAACTAAAAAATTGTTGTTTTTAAAATGTACACAGCTATTACAGCTTTGGTATATACCAACAGGCAATTTACATGACCCATGAAATCAGAAGATTGCACAGAAGCAACAGCATAGCAGCAGATATCCATCCCAACCAGTCCATATAGCCCTATACCTTATTCTCACATTTTTCATTGTACTCAATCAGCATAGCCCTCCATTTCTCTTCTCTCTCACAAGCTCCTTTAGGCAACTCCTTAAATGCTTTGAAATTATACAACTCAACTGCTTCCTCTGGTAGCGAGTTCTACTCTCTGGGTAAAGAAGTTCCCTATAACTTTTTAATCTTTCTGCAACATTGGATATTTTGTTAAGCATCAGGGTCCATGCATTTCTAAGTGTAACTGCTGTGGGTGTGGAATTGAGTTTTTTATGGAACTCCGATGTCTTTTGAAGTATCCATGTTGGAAGGCTGTGCCTCCTCCCAATGAGGAGCCCAGGAAGCTCTCTCTCTCTTCTGTAGAATTCCATCACCTTGGGAAAAATGAAGTTAAGAATCCAAAGCGAGCAGCCTAGGCTACATGTAGCTGCATTACTCTGTCCATTGAAAAGTTCTCCCCAGAACTTCAACAATCAGGACCCATCCTGTCATTGTATCTTTCCCACTATTTCCCCTATTAGATTTCTTGGAGATAATTTCACACTAATGGCTTCTAGTTATGCTCTTCCCCATAACATTTTCACTGCATCTGAATGATCAAAATCCTCCATAATAGTAAAGATTTTTAATAGGACATTCCCTAGCCTTCTCTTTTCAAAAGGAGAAAAAGAAGTTATCAATCCGGCATTCTCCTTTATAAATCTATTTTACTCCCTCTCCAGGGTCTCGATATCTTTCTTTTTAATAATACGGCGGCCAGGACTGTATGCAGTGTTCCAGGTACAGGCTAATCAAGGTTCACTTATTTTCAAATCTCTCCCATCAGAAATAAACCCTAGTGGTTCATTTATTGTTTAATGGCCTTGTTATTCTGAGCCACTCCTCGTCATGTGGAATGTGGTTAGCTGATAGATACTTCAAGACTAAGCACATCATCTTTTCTGATAAAAGTCTCTTTCTCTCCACAGAAGCTGCTGAGTTTTTCCAATGCTTTTTTATTTCGTTTTTATTTCAAATCTCTGGCATCTGTGGTATTCTGCTTCCCGTTAAAGTTCAGTCTTGTTCAGAAGCAACATTGAATTGCTGGAAGTGTGACCAGTGAGATGAGCCATTACACCAAGGCATCAGCTACCTGTTCCAATGGACACATAACATCCATCACTCATCTTTCTGCAGGGAGCTCTCCCAGTATCCTGATGAACAATCACCTCACAGCTATGACTAAATTAACTGGGGTCGCCTTCTTTGTGGGATCTTTCTGTGCACGATGTGGCTACCTCATTTGTCCACTCAGAAAACAGGTTTCATTAGCTGCGATATCCCAAGTACCTTCGAGTTCTTTCTTTAGATCGACTGGCTTGTCTTTTTGGAACCAGGTGCAAATTTATAGAATTTTTGTCCCAGATTTTGGTCAAAGTCCAAGATAGCACAGATGGCATATTATTAATTCCTTCAGATGTCTGTACGTGTCAGCCTGTGATCAATCAGCCTCTGGTACACAAGCATTAATGAACAAATGTATCTGTGTGATGGATTTTCAAATGGTTTCTTCCTATTAATGTGGCCACATCCCAACTGATTGCTCAAGAGGGAAAGATTGAAGATTATTGCTGCAAATGACTAATGCCACCTAATCGCATCTGTCCACTTCCGTTCACTAACATGATATCACCAGGGAATTTTTCATGATCTGCTCATCTTCTGTTTGACAGGAACCTTTGGTGAGTAACTCACAAGACAGCAATTCTTTATGGAGAACACTCAGTATGTCCAAGGAGCTCATCATTCCTGTAAAACAGGCAGAGAAAGTTGTTAATGACAGGCTAAATTGGATTACCGCTCCCTTTTATAACTTCACACTGGTATGATCCCTTACCATGTCGCACACTGTAACAGGAGTCCAAAGTGTTCATTAAAATCTTTCCCAACGACCGTCTGGAAACATTCTGTGATCAAGAAGAATACAAATTGAGGATGAAATGGAATACAAGCAAGAGGAATTGTTAGAATCTGAAAGACAGCAAAGTACATAGCAGTAGGTTCTAAAAGACTGATCCACTCAACCAGTCAGGAATATGTTCTCCACTTAAAACAGATACTGCCCATATCCTGCTGGTCAGTCTGGGCATTTACATGATACCTGGTGCAGATACCAGTGGCAAGACCATGCCATTAAGTATTTGTATGGATTTCTGGACCGGTAAAGCTGTCGGCAAATATTCGCAAGACCCTCCTACTGTAAACCCAATTCAAAATCATTGTCAGAATGTTCAATCCATCTTTGGCAGAGGAAGGCTAACAGGACTGTAAGTAACACTGCCAACATTCTGACCGTACACCAGATTCAACCACTGCTGTTCTCAAGGCTGTCCTTCTGAGTCAACCTTTGCTTCTTCAGGTTGTCCCAAGCCTCTGGTGACATGCAGGCCAATAATAATGTCCATACTGGCAGTAAGCTGAAACCCATGCCATGACAAGGTGCCACTCAACCACAACAGACACATGAATGCTGGAGAAACTCAGCAGATCTGGCAGTATCTGCGCAGAGAGAAACAGTTATTGTTGAGCTACAACACTTCTTCAGAAAGATGAGGGTTCACTCATTTAAGACAGAGATGAGGAGAATTTCTTTTCACAATAAGGGTTGTGAGTCTTTGAAACTTTCTTCCCCCACAAAAGAATGGTCTTTGAATTTAGCTTTTAAAGGCGGTGGTTGATGGATTCTCGACAAGTAACAGAGTGAAAAGGTTATCAGAGAGAGGTGGGAGTGTGTAGCGATCAGATCAGCCATGATCTTACTGGCTGGCAGCGCAGGATCAAGGGGCTGAGTGGCCAATTAATTCATACTCTCATATAGTAAAAGAATGAAGGCAAAAGGAGATTAGAGTTACTTGAAGGGAAATATTTGCAGGAATATGGGGAAGGAGCGAGCAACTGGAATTAATTGGAGAGAGCAAAGAGAGAGCAAAGGTATGATCATCAAATGGTTGCCTCTGTGCTGTATTTTTGGGGTTTCCATTAAATTTCTGTTTTCTTTTTTAGTTCATTCATGGAATATCAGTGTCTCTAGCAGATCAGAATGCAAGTTCTGAACAAATCTCATAATGGACATGAAATGTTAAATCTGTTTCCCTTTCTACTGATGTTACCAGATCTACTGAGTTTCTCCAGTATTTCCTGTTTGTTTCAGGTTTCCAACATTGATGATATTTTGCTTTTATTCATGAATAAAGTAGCTGTGAAGATGGATGTCAATCTGAGACAAAGATCTGCTTTACCGTACAACATCCAATTTGAAATGTATGAAAGAGGAGGCAATGATCTAGTGATAATATCATTAGGCTATTAAACCAGAAATCCAGGTAATGTTCAGGGGAACTGGGTTCAAATCCCACCATGGCAGATGGTGGAATCTGAATTCACTAAAAATTTGGAATTAAATGTCTAATTAGGACCATGAAACTGGTGTCGAATTTTGGAAAAACCCATCTGGTTCACTAATGCTTTTTAGGGAAGGAAACTGTCATCATTACCTGGTCTGGCCTACACTTGGGCAAATAGGGATGGGTAAAGAACACTGGCCTAGCCAAAGGCGCCCATATCCAAGAATAACAAAAGAAGATCACAATCTGGGCTCCAGTTTCTCAATATTTCCTGGAAATGACCAGCCTCCAGAATAAAACAAACATGCCTCACAAGCGTGGCACAGTCGTTCAGTGGTTAGCATTGCTGCCTCACAGCGCCAGGGACCTGGATTCGATTCCAGCCTCAGGCAACTGTCGGTGTGGAGTTTGCACATTCTCCCCGTGTCTGCATGGGTTTCCTCCAGGTGCTCCAGTTTCCTCCCATAGTCCAAAGATGTGGAAATTATGTGGATTGGCCATGCTAAATTGCCCCATAGTGTTCAGAGATGTGTAGACTAGGTGGATCATGGGAAATGCAGGCTACAGGGACATGATAAGGGAGGTTGGCCTGGGTGGGATGCTCTTTAGAGGGTTGGCGTAGACTCGATGGACCGAATTGTCTGCCTCCACATTGTAGGGATTCTATGATTCTAACTTTCCCACACACCTATTGAAAGAAGGGCTACCTGCACACAATCTAAGGAATGGAAGAAACCAGCATCCACTTGTGAACGCCACAGAGGGATTCCAGAAACCTGGAATGTCAAATTAACAAGTTTTCCATTAATGCAAACTCCTGTTCCCCATAAAATATGCGCCCTAATAGGAGTTACAATTCCACCACATCCAGGCCTGAAACTAACATGTGAAGTCGAACTGGAGAACCAGTGCAGACAATGGACTGAATGGCCTTCAACAAAGCAACAATTCTGTGGCTCAATGAATACCGACATATCCACCCAGTTCCTCAATTCACCATTGTCAACATGGTCACTTGAGCCTGAATCGCAGCCAGCCTATTTAACGCCTGTGATTGAGATATCGGTGCAACAGACTGTGTCTGAACATGAGGCCAACCCTAACATGTTGTTCACCCAGCAGGAAATTGTGCTCACATGCTGTGAGTAGGATTATTTCCTGTTCCTTAGGAGCACAACCCCTCGGTGTCTGCAATCAGATATAACATAAATTGCTGTGAATTTTGCCAAGCATCTGGCTCAAACAGTCTCTGACTGAGTTGTGAGCACCATTGGTATGGTATGAATATTCAGACAGAATCTGGCAGCTAAGTTATCAATGCTGACCTCCTTTCTGGAACACCCACAGTTCTGAAACTAATCCTCCCCTCTCGCACTCAATGCTATAACGACGAAGTTCACAATAGGTTCTTTTTCCTATAAATCATCGGAGAGGGCTCCAGGTAATTACCAGTGTTCGCAGTTGCTGCAGAAGCTGCAGTACATCGGTCAGTTTCTCCTCAATCAGCGAGAGTCGCACCCGATCAGTTTCAACCATCTGCAGTTCTATCCTCAGCATTTCCACCTCCTCCCCTTTCAGCTGGAGTTCCTTGGTCATTGCACATGACAACTGGAAAACAAGGCAGCATTCATAAGGAGGTTGCAGTAGCCCAGGAAAGACATGCGTTTTTATAGCCCCTCTTATACATCGATAGATACATGGAAAATAGGAGGGGTAGCCTATTCAGCCCTTCAAACCTGCTACACCATTCAAAATGATCATGCTGATCACTCAATTCTGTACCCTGTTCCACTCTCTCCCCATAACCTTTGATCCCTATAGCCCCAAAAACTACATCCAACTCCTTCTTGAAAGCATTCAATATTGTGGCCTCGTGCTCTTTCTGTGGCAGAGAATTCCATAGACTCACTACTCTCTGGTACAGAAATTTCTGCTCATCTCAGCCCTAAATGGCCTAGCGTGTATGCTTAGACTCCTAGTTCTGGACTCCCTGATCATCGGGAACATCCTTCCTGCATTTGCCCTGTCTTGTCCCGTTTCTATGAGATCACCTCCCTCATTCCTCAAAAGTCCGATGAATATAGTCCTATCCGATCCAGTCTCTCTTTGTACATCATGATCATCATTGTGACTATGGGATGTGCCTAATCATTTCACAGCCGTGGTTTTCGAAGTGTAGTCGCTGTGTTAATGTAGGAAATGTGACAATCAAATGACAGACAGCAAGCTGCCACCTATAGCTAAGCGATACTAACAAGATCATCAGTTTTTTAAAGTGAGGTTTGTGGGTTAAATATTAGTTTGAACTCCAAAGAAATCTTCCCTGCTCTTCTTTGAAATAGTCCTTCTCTACTTGAGCAGACAGAAGGTTAATATTTTGTGGGAAAGACAAAAATCCATTACAAGAACAAACTGCCCCAAATGTCCTTTACGCAATTCTATACTTCCCTGTAGCATGCCTATTCAACTCATTTCTCATTTAATATTTTCAATATTACACAAGCAACCCATTCAAACTTTTGACAACTAAGTACCTTGTCTCTCAACCCAACTGTCTGTAGGCTGTGGGGATAATGATCTAGAAATAAAATTTGTCGCTATGTGTGACCAGTTCTCTGCAATGAGGAGAGCTCAAACCATCTGAGAGGAAACATCAGGGTCAGCAGCAGTCCAAATCAGCCTGGTATATCCCCTCAGGGAAGGTTATAGAGTCACAATAACTAAAGTGTAAAGTGGGCTTTTCCTCCCACTTTACTCAGGAAGCAGATTGAGCTGGCAGACAATTGGAGTCTTGGGAGAGACCAGATAGGAAGCTTTGGCAGGATGGGAAACCCAAGCATTGAGCAAGCAGAAAGGGGAAAGCTGAGTTAATGGCATTTTCCATCGACACAGGTTCCTTTTCTCATAGGAACAGTGTCCCAATGCGGGTTACATACCATGAAATGTGACTGGATTTGAGTCTGATGTCTGTAGTTTCCAGGATGTAAATGAGGCACAGTTTGTTTTTAGACACAGACAGTGGTTCATGTATAGAATGAACTTCGAGAGAAAGTTTTTTTTTAATTCATTCACAGGATGAGGGCATCGCTGGCTAGGCCATCATTTATTGCCCATCCCCAATTGCACACGGAGCAGTTAAGAGTCCACCACATTGCTAGTGGATCTGGAGTCACATGTAGGCCAGACCAGGTAAGGATGGCAGATTCTTTCCTAAAGGGCACTAGTGAACCAAATGGGATTTTCTGATAATCAACAATGAAATCATGGTCAGTATTAGATTCTTAAGTCCAGATATTAACTGAATTCAAATTCCACCATCTGCTGTGGTGGGATTCGAATCTGGGTCCCCGGAACATCACCTGGGTTAACCATCCAGCAATTATACCATTGTAACTATACCCGCATCCATCAAGGGGAAGGGAATGTTTAAATCTGGATATTTATAGAAATAAGAAATGTTTGGAGGGATATGGGCCAAGCGCAGGCAGGTGGGAGTAGTTTAGTTTGGGATTATGGTCGGTATGGACTGGTTGGACCGAAGGGTCTGTTTCTGTGATGTATGACTCTAGATGTGATTTTTATATCAACCTGATAACAGATGTTATTACTCACCTCTGGAGCAGTAGGATTCGGATCTGGGATACCAACACTGCACCTCAAGCACCTTTGAATGGAATATATTGAGGACCAGACACAACGTATGGCAGTTGTGCTTTGTGGGACTGGCTCATGGATAGCTAAAAGGGCAATGTAATGGGAGCCCATTCTGAAACTCATTCTCTGTGCATTTTGAAGTCTTAATAGTTAAAGGTGTTCACGTAAGCAAATAAGACAGGATTTCAGGCATGTCAAACATGTCCAGTGTCTGCTGAGTCCTGTCTGAATGGGAACCGCCTGAACAACAATAACAACTTGCATTTAACATAAAAATATCCGAACATTTTTCACTGAGGCTTGATGAAACAAGAAACACTGAGCCGAGGAGGAGGGTAACCCATTTTGAGATATGCTTTACAACAGGACAATGAGGAGATGGTGCTTTAAGAACAGAATTCCCCAGGTGGAGCCGATGATGGGGGCAGTGGTAACAAGGCCCCTCTTCTGAATTTTAAAAGGGAGATTCTTCCCCCTCCCTCAGGCCACTGCTTCTACTTTGGGTGCCCTTGAATTGAGAAGAGGCTTTTGTAAAATTTAAGAGCCTCTGTCCCATTAAGATTGATGTGTCTACTCTCACCTTCTGCCTGTCTTCCCCTGCCTCGGCAGCAAATGGTTGTCCCTTCTTGCAGCAAGAGACGAAATCAAATAATGAACCTCATCACAGCTTGGGTTAGGACCACAGCATCAGGCAGTAGACCATGTTCCAACTGTCCTTCAGAGGGGTGAGCGTCGCTACAGTAATATTCAGCATTCACTCCTTTTTCAGCACACCAAACCTTTTGAGCCTGGGATCAATCTCATTTTTCTTCGCTCCACTCTCCGTATTGGAATATTCTTTTTGTGGTGATTAAATTGGACACGAAAATGAAGATAAGAAGATGAGCAAGTCTTTCCTCAGCATCTGGCTGAGCTAACACATCAAGTTTTCAAACCCTCACACTCTGCCCAAGAATATGCTACATTTGCCTTCCAAACCCTTTAATTTACACTCAATTTGGGAGCCTTCCATACCCTTTAATTTAAACTTAATTTGCAAACTAAGAAAGCACTGTTCAAAAGCCTGGAAATTACAGAATAGACAACTTTTGCTGGGTCAAATTTAATAAAACTTACTCTCTAAACCCGTGGAAACAGCCAAATTTATTTCCCACAGTTCCCCTCAGTTTAAACATTGTTCAAATAATACAGGGGTCTGGAAATGATTTTAACCTTTGGTTCTTGTGGAAGAGGAAAACAAAGCACCAAGGTAAATGCATTTAATCAACCAGCAGCACGTTGCACAATTTTGGCTTCGCAGCCTTTGGAAGAATTTCTTGACCATAATTCATACCTTCTCAGTCTCAGTCTGGAGCTCTGTCACTTTCTCCTCCTTGTTCTTTAGCTGAATTGTGAGTTCCTTTTCTCTTTCCATCCATGGCGGAAAGACCATGGAACCATTCTCCCTGTTCTCACAGCTGCAGTTGTGACAGAGCAGTTGTTGTAATGTGCTACAGTGGCACCTATAAGACAGGAATTTAAAATAAAATCAAATTTTAAGATAAATACCCCAAAATCTGCTAAACATGAGCTTCCATACACAGACGCTGTTTGTCCAAACTAATGCAGTTATTATTATTTCAGATAGTAGAAGCAATGCAAAGAGTTAGGTGGACTCAAGGGATTTAAAGAAAGAACTTGCATCTGTTTAGGTTCTTTCACAACCTCACACAGTCTCTCAACATGCTTTAGGATTAGTACATTTCAAATTGTTGTTGAACAGTGTGATAATTGGCAGCTAAATTGTTCACAACAATGTCCCAGAGACACAGTGAGATAAATTGCCTGATAATTTATTTTTACTGAAATTGGTTGGAACAAACACATATTGAAAAGAACAGTGGGGAGATCATCTCAAGTTTTCTTTGAAACAGTGCCATGGGAACTTCAACAACTGAAGGAAAAAAATTGAGATTTAACTTGTTACTGAACTGTTGGCAGACATTGGTTGGAATTGCAAAATATGAACCGGGAGGAATAAATTAAGCAGTTTCACCACCATCAAGGTATAGCTATAATTTTCTGTTAAGTCAGAGATATTTACCTTCTATCAAAGAATGTTTCGAGACATACTGCACTTGTGGTGTGACAGAGGGAGGTGGAAGAAAGTGTCCAAGGGGTTAAATACTTTGATGTAACATGATAAACTGTTTACAAAGCAATTTCATAACCTACAGCTGAAACTGTGAGCCAGTGTTTACAGCAAAGTGTGTTGCTTCTAAAACCCAGCAGGAACAGCGGCAAATAAACCATGGGATTATGGTATCCTGAGGGGAGACTAAGGACGCATTTAACTCTATAGTTGTTGGGTAATGTGCAACGATTTCACTTGGCACTTTTTAAAATGTATTCATTCAGGAGGTATGGACATCTCTGGCTAGGCCAACATTCATTGTCCATCATTAATTGTCCTTTAGAAGAGCAATTAGAGCTTTAGAGCTGCCTTTTTGACCCATACAACACAGGGATTGACAAGGACAATAGTACTATTAAGGGGAAGCTCAAGGATTTTGATCCTGTCACTGAGAGAGATCGGCAATACATTTTTCATTTTTTTTTTAACAACAATAAACTGAACTGCATGTTGGCCTGTTATAATTGGAATTCAAGGAAAGTGGTTCGCAATGTGAAATCAAGTGTTACTATTCTTGAGCCATGCAATACAATGTTGCTTTTCGGAAGCAATAAGTAGGGGAATGTGAGGTTGAATGGCACTGATAATCTTTTAAGTTAAGAAAATTCTTGTTAGCGATAGCCCTCTGATTGACTGAACTGCAAAACGTTAAAAAGTTGTACACAGCAACAGCAATAGAGTGAAAATCATCCAGAGCCTGCAGACAGAGAGCAACCATCTCTCCCTCTCCATGTGGGGAAAAGACATACGAACCAAGAAAGTTTTAAAAATACAGAATCCATACAGAGAAGACCCAAATTCACCTGACCAGCCATTAAATTAAAGGACGACTGTCACTGTACAGATGACAGTGTATCATCACTGCAAAAATCAAACTGTCTGTGGGGAAAGTAACTATCCGCTTTGCGGTCTGGCCCTTTGATTACTGGAATTGTGTTTAGCCTTTCCAAACAGTGCGAGCGAGTGTGTGCGTCTGTGTGTATTATTCACCTTTTGTCTGTGTTAACCATGATTGAGATTGATGTTTGGGGATTTGAAGGGATTTTAAGTGCACAGCACAGTGGTTAGCACTGCTGCCTCACAGCGCGAAGGACCCGGGTTCGATTCCACTCTCAGGTGACTGTTTGCAGAGCCTGCATGTTCTTTCTCCTTTTGAGTGGGTTTCCTCTCACAGTCCAAAAATGTGCAGGTTAGGTAGATTGGCCCTGCCAAAAATTGCCCAGTTGTCTCCACGGATATGCAGGTTTGGTGGGTTAGCTGTGGTGAAAATCACATGTGGTGGGCGATGGTGGGCGATGGGGTGCGAGGCTCTTTGGAGAGTTGGTCCGGACTCGATGGGCTGAATGGCCTCTTTCTGCACTGTAGGGATTCCATGAAGTTGTATAAATTAGAAATCTCTTTTCTTGTTAAGTTCAGTGCACATCAATGTGTTTTTTTTTCGGATACTGAGGCCAACTAGTCAAAATTGCTTTTGCCCCAGGTAGCAGTAGTCAGTCAGGTAAATTGGTCATTTGGACAGTCTCATTAGGATTTTACACATGCACACATTTTGCAAAGGTTTGTGGCACAATTATTGGTGCACGCTTTTGAGTTAAGTTGTGACAACCGAACAATTGCTCAGAGGGGAACCCGCTGTTGTAATTTTTTGGGTATACACATACCACCTTGGTTCTTTTTATGAATAACAAAATTATGTTCAGCCTAAATGCATTGGAAAATGAAGAGTTCTCTAACAACACAGAAGAATCAGTTTTTGGTTGAGATAGTTTTTAAAACTTAGGCTGAAACCAGACAGAGTGCGGTGAGAATCTCTTCAGAGAAGGGAGCGTTATTTTCTTTCACCAGCTTGTGCCTTAAAATCCCATGTAAATTACACATGTTGGTTAATGCAACAAGAGCTGGATAGTATCCAGTCTTGAGCTGAAAAGTGGCAAATAACATTCGCGCCACACAAATGTTAGGCTACGACCAGCTGCAATAGGGACAAGTGCCTCTTACATTCAGTGGCATTACCATCACTGAAGCCCCCTACTATCAACATCTTGGGGGTTAACTTTGACCAGAAACTGAACTGAATTTGGACATAAACAAGAGCAGGCCACAGGTTACCAATACTGTGATGTCTAACTCATGTCCTGACTCCCCAAAGGCACAAGTCAGGAGTGTGATGGAACACTCTCACTTGCCTGGATGAGTACAGCTCCAGCAGCATTCAAACCTTGACACCATCCAGGACAAAACAGCCCACTGGATTGGCACATCCACACCCTCCACCACTGACACTCATTACGTACTGCTGCTACTATCTACAGGATGCAGAAATTCACCAAAGATCCTTAGACAGCACCTTCCAAACCCCTGACCATTTCCATTTAGAAGACCAAAGGCAGCAGATACATGGGAACACCACCCCCTGCAAGTTCCCATCCAAGCCACTCACCATCCTGACTTGGAAATATATTGTTGTTCCTTCACTTGTCGCTGGGTCAAAATCATGGAATTCCCTTCCTAAGGGCATTGTGGGTCAATGTACAGCATGAGGACTGTAGCACTTCAAGAAGACAGCTCACTAACACCTTCTCAAAGGCAACTAGGGAGGGGCAATAAAAGCTGCCCCAGCCAGTTATGCCCACATTCCCCATGAAAGAATTAAAAAAATAGATTAAATCTAAGAACTCAAGATTTGTATTACTCAGTTTGTTCTCCTCTGTGGTTCCACTTTCATTCTAATTGATGGAAAATACTGAACTGGAACAAACAGGAAATGGGAGTCATGAGTGTATTTCCTTCATGTGTTTGCAAGAACCTTACCCTTCACGACTGCAGCCATCTCTGTTCAGTTCCATCATCTGACAGTGTTGATCCTCCGTACCTCTCTCTTCCTCCTCATCAGAAGCAGCGCATCCCTCGACTGCTCTGAGTAAATGTCCCTCATCTGTGGAAAAACAGGATAGAGTAGCTCTGAAGACTAATGGGCTTGGACATTGCAAAGTTTCAGAAAGTACATAATAAATGGTAAAAATCAGCTCGGAGTGACAGCAACAATATATTTGCCGCGTTAACTGCACAAATAGGCAACTTAAAGGTTTTATGCAGTCTGTCTCCGTTTGAAGAGCAGGCTCAGGTTTTCGGACTTTACATTGATATCTTGTAAAGCTTTTTACCTTCGTTACAGGAAGGATCTCCATTCTGCGAGCTATAACATTCCCTGTTTTCCAAGGTACAATCTGCTTTCCCCGTTGGCGGACTCCGTGCTCGTTGGAATGAGGGACTCCAATTATTCTGACGAGAGCTGTAATATTTGTGCCAGTGTTGGGAGTGGCTCAGCAAAGCTGTGTCCTTTCTGCCTTGGCCCTCTTGTAACCTTGATTAAGAACAAGTTAGGGCATTATCAGTATTGGCAGGTCAGCGTCCTCAGTTTGAATAGTTGGGTGGGGGTGCATGGGGAGATGTCCCTTTATATCAAATCCTTTGCTTCAGATGATCGCTCATTAACTTCAAACGTATGCTAATAATGCAGAACCTGCTCTCAAAATTGTGGCAGTTTTACTTAATTTATTTTGTGATTTTATGGACAATATTAACAAGACCACATTTTGTGGGTGGCATGGTGGCTCAGTGGTTAGCACTGCTGCCTCACAGTGCCAGGGACCCAGGTTCGACTCTCGGGTGACTGCCTGTGAGGAGTTTGTACAATCTCCCCGTGTCTGGGTGGGTTTCCTCCCACAGTCTAAAGATGTGCAAGCTAAGTGGATTAGCCATGGGAAATGCAGGGTTACAGGGATGGGGTAGGGAGTGGTATGCTGTTCAGAGGGTCGGTGTTGACTCGATCAGCTGAATGGCCTGCTTCCACATTGCAGGGATTCTATGCATCTACATTTAGGGGCTATACCTAGTTACCTTCAGGTGGTGAGCTGTCTTCTTGAATTCCTGCCCGAGAGAGGAAAAAATCAGTAACAAAACAATAACACTTGGAAATGAATGTTCTGACCATACTGGCCTTCTGTACATCCTGTACTCTGAAGGTTGATTCTGAACTTTTTAAGTCAGAATGCCTTATACTGCAGTGATTATGCCCTGACTCTAGGCCTAGATTCAAGATCTAACTGCTCTAGAGGTGTGTCATTCAGCTTGTTCAGGCACATTACATGAAAAAAAGAGAGAATGTTGGAGACAGAAACAGAGTTAACATTTGGAGTCCAGTATGACTCTTCTTCAAAACTGGTTCTGAAGTTCTCTCATTCTGGAGAAGAGTCATAAGAAGCTAAGAACTAGGAGCAGGAGCAGTTATTTCAGGCCCTTGAGACTATTCCACCATTTAATATGATCGCAGCTGATCTCATCTCAGTCTGAACTCCATTTTTCTGCCTGATCTCCACAACCTTATCAGACTACATATCAGACTTGAAACATTAACTGTTTTCTCTCTCCACAGATGCTGCCAGACCTGCTGAGTTTCTCTAGAGTTTGTTTCAGGTTTCCAGAATCTGCAGTATTTTGCTTTTGTTTGAAGTTGAATAAAAGTAGCTACAAGACAAAGTTAACTATTGTATGAAATTTGCCTTTTCATATCCTTTAACGATTGAAACGATAACTACAGAGAGGTTTTTAAAATTTATTCACACAAGAATTAGGATTGTTGTGGTGTGTAGGTTCACTAAAGAAATTCCTCATCCTGAAGGAAACCAGTGAACCTGACAAATTCTTGTTAGCAATCTAGATTATTTTTGTTGCAGTCAGCCAGTTAGTTCACAAATTACCAGATGGATTCAGAAACAAAAACAAAACTTACTGGAAAAGCTCAGCAAGTCTGGAAACATCTGTGGAGAGAAATCACTGTTAACGTTTCAGATCCGGTGACCCTTCCTCAGTTCTGATTTGTTTCTGATTTTCAGCATCCACAGTTCTTTCATTTAATCAAATGGATTGAATTCAACTCCAAAGCTTGCTGTGGTTGGAACTGAACTCCTTACAACAGTTTGAAAGACTATTTCTAGACTTTTATTAAGGCTGTTTCCATGTAGATGCCATGAAGCGTAGCATGATTGTTTTACTTTCTCTTTTATGGCAGTTCCCATTTGAACACCAATAAATTTCCCACAAGGAATTGTCATATGTGAACTTCTGAAAAGAATGAACTGGAAAAAAAAACAATCAAAACCAGAAATTGCTCGATAAACTCCTCAGGTCTAGCAACATGTGTGGAGAGAAAAGTAGATTTCATGTTTTGAGTCCAGTGATCCTTCTTCTTCAAGTTGTGTTTCACCAATTTTTGTTTTTGTTTGTTTCAGATCTTCAGCATCCACGGTTCTTTGTTTTCTGGAAAGGCAATCAGGCCAGACTGCATCCTGTGGCCCCTGGCAGTGCCCCTTCTTCTGTATCTATGAGTAATGGTGCTTATGCCATTGAAGATTAATGTACAGAGAGACTCCAATCCAAAGGCTGCAAGTCAATAGCTAATAATGTTGATATGATGTGATAAAAATCACTCTGGCAATTCTGCGGAAGCACTCTGGTCATTAGTAGATGATGTTTTCAACGATACCACATGTGCCAGCCTGGTTCAATAGGTCATTTCCACTATGACACCTGGCTTGCACCAGCTGGGGGGAAATGGTCTTTACAGCTGCTGAGTCAGCATATCCCGAGTTCTGTCATCTTTTGCAAGGACACCTGCAGCAATAAGTGAAGTAGTCAGTGAAAGCGGGATTTGCTTTAAAACAATATTGTTGCTCCAAGAGCACAGTATGGTTACCATGACTTGGGCTGTTTGTAACTTCATGATGTCCATACTCTCTTGGTTGTCTTGAGTGTTAGGTATCTCCATTTGTACTAAAGAGCAAAGAGAACAAAGAACAATACAATGCAGGAACAGGCCCTTCAAGCCTGTGCTGGCACACTTTGCCCTTCTGTGCTAAAACGGTCTTCACTTACAGGATCCATATCCATCTCTGTCTATTCCCCTTCTAATCACGTATTCATCCAGGTGTTTCTCGAACTGCTGCTATTGTGGCTGCTCCCACCAGCTCCTCTGGCAGTACATTCCAGGCACTCACCGTCACTCTTACAGGTTCCTACTGTCTGAGTCCCTTGTAATCCTTATCCATCCTAGAGTATGGCTCTCACTTTGTTCTGTACTCAAAACTCTTTATTTACAGTTAGATACACATCTTACTGAATACAGCTCTCCTCAGAGGAGTATTTCACTCCTGCTTCATCATGTACTTCTCTCTAGATTACTCTCTGACGCTCTTCCCCACTACTGTTAGCGTAGCAAAATAATCTCCATCATCAACATTAGCACACTCACATCCCAATTTTACCACAGTATCTTGAGGCACATTGGTACTGCCCTTACCTCTGAGCCAGGTGGTCCAGGTTCAAGTCCCACCTGCCCTGGAGGTACATCATAGAATTGTCTGATCAGGTTGACTATAATTACTATACTGTAGTATTTCTGACTGGCTTCCATCTCTCCCCAGACACACTGCAGTGCTGATCTTTGAGGGTGGGGACAATCGTATCACTGCCACCTCAGCAATCCCCAAATAGGAATCGGGAGCTAGGCTGACACATCATTTGCCTTCAGACCCAAACATGCATGTAGTGTTTCCTTTCATAGTCCCTTTCCACACTCTCCTTTCAGCCTCAGTGGTTTTAGAGGTCCTTTTATCCCTCCCTATTTTAATTGTACGTATCCTTTAATTTTTGCATCTGCCACAACTTTCTGTTCCCTGCACAAGTGCAAATCAGCACCTGAGGCTGTGAGGAATTATGCCAATGAACTGATCCAAGAAAGTTGCAAAATTCTTTTCCCATTACCATTATGTTCATAATCTTCATGAACTGAACTGCACCAGAAAGCACATGTCAGGTCATTTGGAACATGCGATGTAAACTCAGTGTCAGTGGAGAGAAAAACAGAGTTATCACTGAGTTCAGTATAACTCTTCTTTGGAACTAAAGTAGCTTGAGGTCTGTTTGAAAAAGGTTTGGAAAAGAAGTCATTTTGGCTCCAGTAGATTCACCATTCAAATATAAAGTTCTCTGTCTTTCTACGAATTCATTTTGTTGTTTTTTTTTTTAAATGAGTCCAATATTCTGATCTGAACCATACTTCTGACAACTTGTTTCAAGAGTTGACTACCTTCTGTGTCAAGAAAGCCAATGGTTTGGAGAAGTATGTTGTAAGTGCACAGGACAGTGCACTTGTGCGAGGTCACACTATAAGTGTGAGGTCATCCATTTTGGTAGGAATAACAGCAAAATGGACTATGTTTCAAATGGTAAAAAAATTGCAGCACGCTGCTGTGCAGAGGGACTTGAGTGTCCTTGTGCATGAATCACTAAAAGATGGATTGCAGGTGCAGCAGGTAATTAAAAAGGCAAATGGAATTTTGTCTGCCTTTGCTAGAGGGATGGAGTTTAAAAACAGGGAGGCTATGCTGCAGCTGTATAGGGTCCTGGTGAGGCCACACCTGGAGTACTGTGTGCAGTTTTGGTCTCCTTACTTGAGAAGAGATATATTAGCACTGGAGGGGGTGCAGAGGAGATTCACTCGGTTGATTCCAGAGTTGAGAGGGTTGGATTCTGAGGAGAGACGGAGTAGACTGGGATTATGCTCATTGGAAGTCAGAAGAATGAGGGGAGATCTTATAGAAACATATAAGATTATGAAGGGAATAGATAAGGTGGAGGCAGGGAGGTTGTTTCCACTAGCAGGTGAAACTAGGACTAGAGGGCATTGCCTCAAAATAAAGGGAAACAGATGTAGGACTGAGTTCAAGAGGAACTTCTTCACCCAAAGGGTTGTGAATCTGTGGAATTCCCTGCCCAGTGAAGCGGTTGAAGCTACCTCGCTGAATGTTTTTAAGGCAAGGCTAGATAAATTTTTGAACAGTAAAGGAATTAGGGGCTATGGTGAGTGGGCGGGTAAGTGGAGCTGAGTCTCAAAAAGATCAGCCATGATCTTATTAAATGGCGGGGCAGGCTTGAGGGGCCAGATGGCCTATTCCTGCTCCCAGTTCTTATGTTCTTATGACAGAACTGAACAACAATATTCTAAATGGAGAGAATTTCCATATGGAGGAAAGAATGTCACACATAGAGACAAAGATGTCAGTGAGAACTAACAGTGTTTCCGCACAAAGACAGATTTCTGCTGCTACATTTTCTCATCTCACGCTCCCTTGTTAGGAGGCAGGAGAATATTTCATTTTGCCCTGCGAAGCGAGCAGTACATTTGCTCTGTTCTCTATTGTGTAACTCAGTTGTTGGGTTGTGCTGACATTAGCAGACAATCTGTGCCTCCTAACAGAATGTTGCAAGTTGCTGTGGTTTCACGCCAATAAATAGCAGTTTATA